TATTCCATTGTGTATATATACCACATTTTTTTATTCATTCATCTATGGAAGGGCATCTAGAGTTGGTTCCATAATTTAGGTATTGTGAATTGTGCTGCTATAAACATTGACCAAGGACTGGGATAGCTGGGTCAAATGGTGGTTCCATTCCACGTTTTCCAAGAACTCTCCGTACTGCTTTCCAGATTGGCTGCACCAATTTGCAGTCCCATCAGCAATGTATGAATGTGTGTTTTCCCCCTCATCCTTGCCAACACTTATTGTTGTTTGTATTCTTGATAGCTGCCATTCTGACTAGAGTGAGATGAAATCTTAAGAGTAGTTTTGATTTGCATTTCTCTAATTACTAGAGATGTTGAACATTTTTTCATGTATTTGTTGATTGATTGTATATCATCTTCTGACAAGTGTCTGTTCAGTTCCTTGGCCCATTTATTGATTGGTTATTTGTATTTTTTGTGTTAAGATTTTTGAATTCTTTATGTATTCTAGAAATTAGTGCTCCATCTGACTTGTGTGTGGTAAGAATTTGTTTTCAATTAGTAGGTTCTCTATTCACCTCACTGATTCTTTCTTTTGATTCTTGATATTAAAACTTGCACTATAGGATTCTTATTATGGAAGTTGGGGCTAATCCAACATGATGGAGATCTGGGCCTACTTTTTGTTCTAATAGATGTAGTATCACTAGCTTAATTCCTAGGTGCTTGATCCTCTTTGAGTTTTGTGCATGGTGAGAGATAGGAGTTTAATTTCATTTTGTTGCATATGGATTTCCAATTTTCCCAGCACCATTTGTTGCAGAGGCTATCTTTTCTCCAAAGTATGTTTTTGGCACCTTTGTCAAATATATGGTAACTGTAATTATATGGGTTAGTCTCTTTGTCCTCTATTCTATACTATTGGTCCACCAGTCTATTTTGGTGCCAGTACCATGCTGTTTTTGTTACTATTGCTCTGTAGATAGTTTAATGTCTGCTATAGTAATGTCACCTGCTTCACTCTTTCTGCTAAGGATTGCTTTAGCTATTCTGGGTCTCTTATTTTTCCAGATGAATCTCATGACTGCTTTTTCTATTTCTATAAAGAATGTCATTGGGATTATGATTGGGATTGCATTGAATCTGTATAGTGCTTTTTGGTAATATGGCCATTTTGATAATATTAATTCTGCCTATCCAAGAACAAGGGAGGTCTTTCCATCCTCTAAGGTCTTTAGTTTTTTTCTCTAGTGTTCTGTAGTTTTCATTGTAGAGGTCTTTCACCTCTTTTGTTGATTCCCAAGTATTTAATTAATGTATTTATTTATGATGCTATTAAAAATGAGGGTAGTTTTCCTTGTTTCCAGTTCTTATCAGTCTATTGATCTGATGGATTACGTTTATTGATTTCCATATGTTGAGCCAACCTTACATTCCTGGAATGAACACCTCTTGATCATGGTGTACTATCTTTTTGATATGTTTTTGTATTCGATTTACCAGAATTTTATTAATAATTTTTGCATCTATATTCATTAAAGATATTGGTCTGAAGTTTTCTCTTTTTTTGCTGTGTCTTTGCCTGGTTTTGGAATTCAGGTGATATTGGCCTCATAGAATGAGTTTGGAAGTCCTCCCTCTTTTTCTATTTCTTGAAATAAATTGGAAAGTATTGGTATTAGTTATTCTTCAAAGGTCTTGTAGTACTCAGCTGTGTATCCATCCAGCCCTGGGTTTTTCTTGGTTGGTAGGCTTCTGATGGCTTCTTCTATTTTGTTGCTTGAACTTGATCGTTTAAATTGTGTATATCATCCTGATTCAATTTGGGCAAATCATATGACTCTAGAAATTTGTCAATGCCTTTGATATTTTCTATTTTATTGGAGTACAAGTTTTCAAAATAATTTCTGATTATCTTCTGTATTTCTGTAATGTCTATTGTGATATTTCCTTTTTTATCATGTATGTAAGTAATCTGAGTTTTCTCTCTCCTCTTTATTAGCATGGCTAAGGGTCTGTCGATTTTATTTATTTTTTCAAAGAGCCAACTTTTTTTTTTTAGATGTAATGTTAAGTCATTTATTTGTTGACTTTTTCTTCTTTTAAGGAATGAACTCCATGCAGTGAACTTTTCTCTTAGAATTGCTTTCATAGCGTCCCAGAGATTTTGATATGTTGTATCTGTGTTCTCATTCACCTCTAAAAATTTTTTAATCTCCTCCTTGATGTCTTCTGTAACCCCTTGTTCATTCAGCAGCATATTATTTTGTCTCCAGCTGTTGGAGTAGACTTTATTTCTTATTTTATCATTGATTTCTAATTTCATTCCATTATGATCTGAGAGAATGCAGGGTATTATCTCTTTTTTATATTTGCCGAGGGTTTCTTTGTGGCATAATATATGGTCTGTTTTAGAGATGGATCCATGTGCTGCTGAGAAGAAAGTGTATTCACTCATTGAAGGATCAAATATTCTCTCTATGTCAGTTTAGTCTAAGTTATTGATTGTATTATTGAGTTTTACAGTTTCTTTGTTCAGCTTTTGTTTGGAAGATCTATCTAGTGGTGAAAGAGGTGTGTTAAAGTCACCCAAAATTATTGTGTTTTGGTCCGTTTGACTCTTGAATTTGGAAGAGTTTGTTTGATGAATGTAGATGCTTCATTGTTTGGGGAATATATATTTATAATTGTTAAGTCTGTTGTTGTATGGTTCCCTTGAGCAGTATGTAGTGTCCTTCTTTATCCCTTTTGATTAACTTTAGCTTGAGTCTACTTTATTTGATATGCGGATGGAAACCCCTGCTTGCTTCTGCAGCCCATGTGAGTAAAATGATTTTTCCCAAGCTTTATCTTCAGTCTGGGGATGTCTTTTCCTATAAGATGAGTCTCTTGGAGGGAGCATATTGTTGGGTCTTTTTTTTTTTTTTAATCCAATCTGCTAATCTATGTCTTTTGTGTTTTTTAAATATTTTATTATTTATAGTTGGACACAATATCTTTATTTTATTTATTCTTTTAACGTTGTGCTGAGGATCAAACCCAGTGCCTCACATGTGCTAGGCAAACACTCTGCAGCTGAGCCAAAACCCAGCCCCTAGTATATGTCTTTTGATTGGTGAGTTTAGGCCAATAACATTCAGGGTTATTATTGAGACATGATTTGTATTCCCATCCATTTTTGTTTATTTCTGTAGCTCACTTTGATGTTGGGCTTCTAGACGCTGCTGGTGTCTCCAAATGTGTGCCACTTTAAAGTTGGTGGCGGCAATAACTGAGGTAACTCTTGATAATAGTGGAAGTGCCCCAAGCTGGATGGAATGTCTTATACAGATGGGCCTGAAAGGTGGGCCTTACACTGTCTTTTGAAAGTCTGCTCTCAGATTCAGCTTCTTCCAGGCCCTGTCTGTGGTCAAAAGGTAGGGGCTACTGCGTGAGGAAGGTTATGATGATGTCTGCAGTGTCCCAAGATGGAAGTGGGTTAAGCTTGGGTCCCAAGGAGTGGAAAACCCAGACCTACCCTGGGCCTGGGTCCCACATATGCCTCAGTGGGCAGAGCTGGGCTGTTCCTGAGCTCCTGCAGTGGTCTGCTGGTCAGAAGAGGGCGTCTGGTGCCAGAGCCTGAGCTCTGGTGGGTGTCTGCCCATGGCAGGATGGACCACTGTAAGAGATTTTGTGTCATTGTAAAAAACATTTTACAAAGGAGGTGATGTACTCTTAGAAATTAAATTATTGGCCTAAAATTACACAGCTTGTTTTTGAAGTTCTTAACCTAGTAAATTATATTGCCTGCCAAACTAAATTTAATGAAGTGTACATATAACTAAAATTTAAATACATGCACATGTATGTATTTTAAACAGGCAATAAGCAGGTTATATGTGATCACTTCTCAGAGTGTATGGGTTTGGGCTCCCAAGTTTTATTTGAAGTTTCAAGTGAATAGCAAAGTTTGGGATTTCAAAACTCGAAATACTGTGTAGCTAATCCTAAAAGAACAAAACATATCAGTTAGTGATCACTGCCTCTAGCACCATCTTTTTCTTCATTTGAAACTGAAGTTATTCAACTCCAGTTTAACTTTAAATTAAAAAAGGATTTTCCACCCCACCTTGTGAGCTTCTAAGAGCTGTTGAAAAGACCAAAAAGAAATCAATAAGCCTTCAGTGGCAAGTTTGTAAGTACCCAACTTAGAACCTGATACATATTCAATATTGAGAATATATGTATTGAATTGAAAAAGCTCATGCTTTATTCTTCTACAGTTTAATCATTTAAAACATTTTAAAAATATGTTGTCCAATCTACTAATTTTAGTGTCTCCTCATACTAAAATATGTAATATATGATGAATGTTTTGTTGTTTCTTAAACTGTGCTAATGACTTTGTTATGATGGTTCTAGATTCATTCATAAATACTCTGCATAAGAGGTCAATAGATTTTCACTGTAAAGGGTGAAATAGTAAGCATTCTAGGCTTTATGGACCATGTTATCTTTGTAGCAACTTCTGAGCTCTGCTGAAAAGCAACCATGTAAATAAAAGAGTAGATGTATCTGTGATCTAATAAAACTTCATTCTCCAAAACAGCTGGATTTGGCCAGTGTCTCTTTAGATGTCCAGTTTGTATATACCAATGTGAAATGTAAAGTAGAAAATGTTAATATTGAACATGAGGTACTGATATTTATGTTTGCTTCTTTTACAGAGGTTTGTATGGTCAGTGAACTAGTAGATCTCAGTACTTCCATAGACCTTTACTCTCTAAGAAAATAATTGTTGATATGATCCTAACTACTTCTGGATCTTATGTATCTTTAGAGAAAACTGGAATACCATGCCTATATATTGTAACTATAAAAACAGGTACTCTATATGCTTAACATTATTAGCCTTAATATTTATATGATTACCATTAGCATGATGTAGAAGAGTTACAAATAATAATTTAAAATTATAAATTTTGTTTGTAGTTATTTTTGTTACAGATTTTTTTGTTTGTTTGTTTTTCTTTACCCCAGGGAGATTCTATTCAGGCAGGTGATGATTCACCATTCTCAGATTCTGTTACCTTGGAACAAACTACTAGTAACATTGGTGGATCGAGTGGACGGGTTAGTCTCTGGATGCAGTGGGTACTCCCCAAAATTACAATAAAGCTCTTTGCCCCAGATCCTGAAAACAAAGGCACAGGTATAGGATTGTTTTTCTTCTCTCTATTAAAAGCATCAATTATGAAGAACTTTTTTTAAAAGTAGAATTAAATTTTATTATTATCATTTATAATTAAGTAAATATTAGGTATAATTCAAGTGATTTCTATTATTAATTTTACAGTTATGTCAATATTTAAGGTTTATGTGCATATATTCTCTTTGACTGTGTAATGCCTACATTTTGCTTGTTAGTATTAAAATTTATCCTAACTGCCAGAAGGCCGTTTCACCATTGGTCATATTGATGCATTATATCATTGTTAATATATATTATAAATATCATTAACTGGTCTCAGATTTAGCACTTCAAACATTAATTGGAATTTCTCCTGTCTTGAGATAGATGCCTTATCTTAATTGTAAGGCCTGTGTTAATATTAATTTTGCATATAATTATTGAAACTTGGATAGTCTCAGTGTCTCTGAAGTTGTCCAGTTTGCATATACCAATGTGAAATGTAAAGTAGAAAATGTTAATATTGAACATGAGGTACTGATATTTATGTTTGCTTCTTTTACAGAGGTTTGTATGGTCAGTGAACTAGAAGATCTCAGTGCTTCCATAGACGTGCAGGATGTATATACCAAAGTGAAATGTAAAATAGAGAGTTTCAATATTGATCACTATAGAAGCAGGTAAATGATAATTAATATAGGAAAACTGTATTTTCTTTGAACAAAGTCACTTTAAGAATTTTTCTTAGTTTGACTTGTTATTTTTTAAAATTACTATACATGTTCCCAGTGAGGGTTCTTAACAGATAAGCTGATTTTACTTAGTACTCATTCATTTATGTGCTATAATAATACTTTGTTTTGTAAGCTAACCTATCTGTTCGTAAATATTCTCATAGCCATATTATATGAAATAACCTGATTATACTAATAATCTCACACAGTTTTATTAAGTGTGTTATATATTTGCAGAGATGCCTGGAATACTTTGATGACTCTGGTTTTTGCTGTATTCTTTTATTCATTCTCTATATAATCTGCACTGGAATGGAGCAATTGCTCATATCTGCTAGCACTTTGAAGACTTCTTATATTACAAACCATTTATATACATGTGGTAGATATTTCTAAAATCATACTGTTCCTTCCCTAATAAATTTTCATGAAAAGTTAGATTATATGCAAATATGATTTGTTTGGAATACTAAATAATGATGGCAAAAAAGTAAATTTCTACTTAGTTGCCACAAAGCTGTAAAACAGTTTTGTCATTAGATTTTCCCAAATAAAAATGCAAATCCTTTTTGTATTTTTGGCTTTACAACTCAACTCTAAATTTTTATTTTTTTATTGAAATGGAACTCATATCACATAAAACTCACAAATGCTTTTCTAAAATATTTTAAATAACATTGTATTTTCTGTTTAATAGTATTTTCTTTTAGAAAAGTGGATTAAAGTCCATTTATTTCAGAATTCAGAATATGGATTCATTCAACAATTTTTTTATGTTTGCCTGCAGGAACATGTTTTTCTGTATGTGTATTGATCCACTGCATATCCTAATAGCAGTCTTTTGTTTTGTTTAAAGTTTCTAATTCTTTATTGAAAGCATTTGAATTCTTACCTGTTATTATATATATCATTTTGCTTATGTCAGTAATTATCAAATCTGTCACAACTGAAAAATCGTAAAATATTTCACTGGTTATATATTAGAACCTGTTATAATATTATCCTATTAAATAATGTGAAAATTATTTTTATCATATTAACAATAAATTATTAATTAGCTTTTGATGTTTAATTATTTTCTCTTCAGTGATATATATCTATATTAAAATGATCTTTGCAAATTATATTTCAATGTAATTTTTGAGCAATATAATTTCTTGATGAACAATTATTATAGTTTATCTTTGATTTATAGTTATAGTTAAGTGTATATAAATTTTATATATTTAGGTAATTTATTTATTCTTTAAATACAAATGTTTATTGAGTGTGTGTTATGTGCCAAGCTCTATGCTAAGGACTGAGGATATACTATTTGATAAAAATAGACATAGATTTCTCCCTTGTGGACCATATGTACGCTTGTGGATGAGATTCAAATTCATAATCAACCAAACAAATGAATAATTTACTGTTAAAGAATAAATACAGAATTATCAGGATGTGATGCTAATTTGTAAAGGGTTTTATTGATTGCATTGTTATATTCATAGAGTCAACTTAGTGTAGTGTTGTTTACTTTTGAAGTTTTGAAATAGTTATATGTGCTCAATTTTTTAACTCAGAAAAATTGAAGAGAACAGATAAGGTGAACTTATGTTTTCCAGGCAAGGGGAAGGTTGGCAGTCAGGACATTTTGAAGGAATATTTCTACAATGCAAAGAAAAATCTGTGGTGAGACTCATTTAGTAATTATAATTTTTGAAAACATTTTAAATTGTTTATTTTTGTTTCATGCAATAGGACTAATGGTTACAAGAATTAAAGCTCGGAGTATATTCTTTTTGACATGTTCCTCCAAAATTACCTCATAAATTTAAAACTATTTATTCTTTTAATCTGCTCATGTTTTGTAACCATCTTTTATAGCAATTTAGTAAATTTATCAAAAACGCAAAGGTAGGATTCCTATTATTATTTAACTTTAATGAACTATTACATTGACTTTTATAAGCTCTTCCCTTCGTAAGTGAGTTCATACTGGATTGTCTTTTACCGTAAACTTAAAGAAGTAATTGTGGACTAAAAGCAATTATTTTTTGTTTACTTCCATTAACAATACTTTTGCAGAAGATGGTCCAGACAGAGTCCCTACCTAACTCTGGCTCAAACCTAAACCTATGCAAACTTGAGCAGAATTAAAATCTTTACAGATTTTTTTTGCTTATGGCTTTTATTGCTTTTTGTCTTTCAACCTTCTTTGCTCCTGTCCATCACTTCAAGCCTTGGGGAAGAGTGTTGGTCTTTGGGGCAATGTGGAGGTGTCTTCCTTTCCTGTACTGACAAGCTGAACAGACGCACCTTGTTGGTTCGACCCGTCAGCAAGCAGGACCCTTTCAGTAATTGCTCTGGCTTCTTTCCTTCTGTAAGAAATCATTTTAAAATTTTGATACAGAACTGCCCTTAACCAGGAACCCAGAGAAGGAATTGAACTATCCATAAAGTCAACTCTTGATTTTCATTTTTCTCTGTATCATTCACTTTGTTAAATGAACTATAAAGTGTTTTCAAATTATAGATTGGATTTCCACTGTAATCTTTCTGAATCAATTATAAATGCTTTTGTCATTCTGGGTTTGTGAAGACAAACTATTTTTACTATCAACCATAAGAAAATCAAAGTCAGATGTTAAATATAATGCTTTCAAATTGTGCACTTATCGAATGATCAAGAGTTGACCAATACTGCTTTGTCATTCCTTTTGTGACTTTGCTGAGATTACTTTTTTTTTTTTATGCCATTGTTTTCTTCTCACTGCTACTTCAAATTACCTAATTTGATGCCCTCTTGAATCTGGACAAATTTGTGTTGTCATAGACTGAGTAGAAGATGAACCATGGAGTGCATACCAGTAACTTTAGAAGTTTAAAACCTTCATTGTCTACCAGTACAACACATGTGCATATGTTCTCAAACTAATTCTTTTAAGTGATATTCTTAAAATGAATAAAATGCATGAAATTTTTAAATATTAGGAGCATATTTTCAAACAGTGTATTCTTTTAAGAATTTATTTAATCACTACAGACATTACTAGGTAATTTCTCAGCACATGTGAACTATTTATTTCCTTTTTTTCCTAGCTTATTTAAGATTTAAGTCATATATTTTTAACATTATAAAAATATATAAATAATTTAATTTATATACTTAATGTTTAACAGTTTATTTCCATAATAGCACATATTTTCTGATTGATTTTGAATTTTCTAGCAATCCCTATAGTACTAGAAAAAGATGCCTCTGAAATCTGGCTTTCACGTCAGTGGAAGTTCTGTTTAGATTTATTTTTCTCTTTGAATGTTCATTAGTGTCAATGAGAAAGAATTTTACTAATTTTAAATGTATTCAGAAAAAAAATTGAAGATTCCTTTTAAAATTGATCATGTTCTCTGAATTTCTAATGATTAAGCCCCCTTTATTAGACTTTCTTTAATTGTCAATGTTTTCTAACTTTTTATCTTAAATAGTATTAAATATTAGTATTGTATGAAAGGTAATACTTCTATTTGTCCAATATCAGCTATATATTTTTTTCTATTATATTAAGGAGTTAGATATGCATTATTTTAACAAACAAAAAACCTTTTCCGCATCAATCTTAAACTTATTAAGACTGCTTATATTCAATAGGTTTAAAATATTTTTCCAAATCAAAATATTCATGCATTGAAATACCTTTTTATTCAAGATTAAAACATTACTATGGGTAAAGATTTATTGTGAGTTAAATTATTTAGATTAGTAATGACTGCTAATTTTTTAGATTAGTAATTTATCCCTAAAATGCAGTTTAGACACCTAGAATAGATGCTGTTGCTATGGCCACTGAGGCTACACTACAGCCCTCATCATCTGTTGTTGCTGCTGGCCAGCAACATGGTGACTGATCAAACTACTAGTATTCTTTCTTACTTTACTGTGCTCCTTTTTCATTTTGAGTGTAGAGAACAAAAGAATGGGAAATCATGGAGTAGAAACAGAAAGTTGGAAACAATGGAAAATGTTCTGAGGGACAGGTTATTTCAGGGGAAAAAAAGGATTATATTTCACAATCCCTGAAGGATTAATTTTCAAGTTTGTTTTAATGACCAAATAATTAACTGGAGTACAAAAAGAGAATACATACAAAGATCAATGTTTTCTCACTTAATTGTAAAGTTTAGATTAAAAGCAAAATTAAGAGTAATAACATAACTGCATTCTTTTTTCCTCTCATTATTTGGTTTATAGGTATCGACATGAGAGGAATAGAGTAGAAAAAAGGGAGGTTTAGTAATGATGGGATGACATGGACACAGAAATATCTTGGCTTTGTTGCTTCTCACTTTTTTCTATTTTTCAGAACATATTCTCTTTCTCCCCTCCCCATTTTAGTTCCTCTCTTAATATCATTCCTGGGACTCTAACAAATAAAAAAACTTTCTCAGGTGTTTGGAAGTTCTGTGAAATTTACTAATTCTCAAGATTTATGTTGCATAATTTGCAAAATAGGAGTCTGTGAACGATTCATTGGTTCAGGAAACAAACAAAAGAGGATTCCTGATTTCAGGCCAGTCATTCTGTTAGTCATAGAAGCTTTTACCCCATCTGTAGAATTGATCAGTTACATGTTTATGAAGAGCTGTAGGGTCTTACAAAAAAGGTCAAAATACTAAGGTCATTTTCTTCTATCAAACAATTTCCTTTTTTTTTTTTTTTTAATGAAATGTGTATTGTGGTTTCCTTTTTCTGAAACAGACAACTACAAAACTTCTAGATGGTTCACATCAGCAGCATGGATTTCTCTCTCTGACATACACAAAAGCTGTAACAAAAAATGTTCGCCACAAGTTAACATCAAGAAATGAACGAAGAAGTTTTCATAAGTTATCTGAAGGTTTAATGGATGGTTCCCCTCATTTTCTTCATGAAATTCTTCTTTCAGCCCAAGCCTTTGATGTTGTCCTTTGTTTCCCTTTACTTAATGCCATCACAAGTATATTTCAAGCAAAACTACCAAGGTCCCAAAAAGAGAAAAGAAAATCTCCTGGTCAGCCCATGAGGACCCATACGCTGACTTCACGCAGTTTGCCTTTGATTTATATCAATACAAGTGTAATCAGAATTTTTGTTCCAAAAACGGAAGAAATGAAGTCAACTATTGAAGGTATTGTGTTCTGATTTTTTTTTGAATTTACATAATTTTATTCTAGAGACATTAGTTTTCTGTGTTTTGTTTCAACATGGGCAGCTGGTTATACTTTACAGTTTGGTGTATTTTAGAAAGAGTAAATATATTATAGTCATTCTACAGCTGTATCTTTTGAAGTTATATCAGAATACTGATTAAGTATCTGCCTCCATTAGTTAACTAGAGTAAGAAATATGAGATTTTTTTTTTCCTCCAGGGCTGCTGTATACTTTCTGTCATTTGTTATGTGAAATTCAAATGTTGAGTTCTATACATCTAAGTTAACTAAAATTTTGCTTAAAAACAAAATAATGTTTCTAATAATGATGAAATGTATAAAAATTCTTATTTAAATATCTATTTGATTACTGATAATGGGAAAAATATTAGTCAATGTGTAAGGTCCCTCTGGCTTTGTGAAGCTTCTCAGTGTCATGAAATTACTGCCTTAAACTAAAATGAATTGATAATCCCACTGTCTCCATCCACAAGAGTATTTTTAAAAATTTAGTTTCCTTTATGCTATTGTTTAAAAAATGGAGAACTTGAAGGATTTTGAGAATCATTTTAGCACAATGCTTAATGGTATGAAAATTGAAGTTATACAGAATTGAGTTCAAATCTCAACTTTACCAGTTATGATTTTGACGGTCTTGAGCAAAACTGTTATCCTCATTAGTAAAATAGTGACAGTAGTACCTAACTTGATAGTAAGTTGTATTAATAAGCTTACTTTAAAATGATGAAAACATGAGCTGGTGATTATAGCACTAATCCCATACTGTGTTCTCAATAAATCAGAGTGTTTTCATCAGAAGGTTGTCTTCCTTTTTAAAAAATACAAATGTAGAAGAATTTCACAACCACATTTACCTCATTGGCCACACTTAAGGTTCAGATAACAATCTGTTTTTACCTTGGTGGCAGTATGCTGTCTTTGTTCTTTCTTGAAGCTTTAACAAAAAGACATAATTTATATATAATAGAAATTTACTTTTCACAGTTCTGGATGCTTGGAAGTTTGGAAGTCCGGAAGTCCCAGATCAAAACGCCATCTGATTCAGTGTCTGGTGAGGGCTACTCTATTTCTCGAGAAGGTCCCTTATTGCTGGGTCCTCACGTGGCAGAAATTTAGAAGGCAAAATGGGATAAATATACCAAAGCCCTTTTTTATGAGGATGGAGCCCTCAAGACCTAATTTGTTCCAAAGTTCTCACTACTACTACCCCTCTCCTGATCTTTCTCCTCCTCCTCCTCCTCCTTCTTCCTTTTCCTCCTCCAAAATAAGTTTATGATATTGGATCTTATAGAAAAAAGAATAATTAAAAGTAACTGAAATACAAAAATAAGAATAAACACACATACACAAACATCTCAAAATCAAAGGAAATATACCTATTTCAAAGAGTGTTTAAACTCAAAGAATAGTTTATATACACACTTGGCTTATCCACAGATTTTTATGCCGTTATCATAAACTGTGAGAAAAATTTAAAAATTAAAATGTAATAAGTTAAATTATAAGGCCCTGTTTCTTAATACCTTCATCTTTTACATCATTTTTTAATTTACAACATCTGAATTTTGGAGAGACACATACATTTCAAATCATAGTATATACCCAGCTAATGTGAATATGAGAGAGAAGTGAGAATGGATATTTGAGAAATAGGCAATAGTCTATGCCCCATAAAAATAACAGAAGTCATTTTCATTTTTTTCTTGTAGTTACTAGGTGGAGGAGGAAGACTGTGAATGGCCAGTGATTTGATGAACAACAAAGAGAAATCCCTGGCTTCATACTTTTTCTTCTCAGAATCTAATTGTGTCTCTTTTTCTGTCTACCATGGACAGATGATCTTAATTAGTGAAGGTATCCTGACTAATATTATCAATAATTAAAATTTATTAAAAAATGATTCTTTGCAATTACAAATATATGCAGAACTTTTTAGTCTTTAATTATCTGAATTCTAAAGTAAAATTCAATATATCACACGTATAAATTCTTAATACGTACTAGTTCCTACTTTTTATATCTATTTTTTTGTTAAACTGGTTATTTTTTCTTAAAACTGGTTACTTTGAGATGTGAAATTACTCTTCTCTGAATTTGCTATATTGTGAAAGTATTATAAAGTTACTTTCATATGTTCAGATAGTTAGTAAAAACATATGAATGGCAAAGAATGAAGAGTCTTTATTGTGCAGTTTCAATTGATGAAAGAGACAACCTGCTAGCCAGGAAAGTAAATATTGCATGTTCATTGCAGAGGTGATGATGTTTGTGCTTTTTCCTGTGGTTACCTTTTATTATGTGAATATATAATGAATATTTAGAGAATGTAGTTTACATTGAAGTTAGAGGTTTAAAAAAAGAAAAATATACATTTTTTTACACACGATAATTCTTTCAGGACCACAGTTTACAAGTTTGAATAACATTTCCTTGTAACAATAGAAGAGACATGGACATAAAAGTTTGCTGAGGTTATCAAATCATTTTTTTATTTTGTAGCTGAAAATTTGAGCAAAATTAACCATGGAAACAGAAGTAAATATGACTTTGAGTAGAAAATTTATCATTATTTTGATAAAAGATTCTAGGATTGTCCATTAATTAAAAAAAAATAGAGCATCAGGTTGCAGTATGTGTAGGTATTTTTCATTAAACTAAAATTATAGAAATTTTATATTTAGAGAAAAAAATTATCTATATTATAAAAATCCTAAATATAATATTTGCAATGATTGAGGGTATTGTTATTATTTAGTACTGGGGATTGAACCCAGGAGTACTTAGCCACTGAGCCACATACCTAGCCTTTTTTATTTTTTATTTAGAGACAAGATCTCCCTAAGTTGCTTAAGGCCTTGCTAATTTGCTGAGGCTGGCATGGAACCTATGATCCTTGTGCTCAAGCTTCCCAAATCTCTAGGAATACAGGCATTTGCCACCATGCCCAGATGAGGTTATTACTTTTTATAAATGTCTCTCTGGTTGATATAAAGCATTCATTTTCCTAGTTTGAGTTAGTTCTTACATTTTGTTTACAATCAGATGTTAGTAAGCTTTTAGATCTCTGAAAATTTATCAGTTTATATTTTATGTTCTCCATTCCATAGTTGTATAAATTTCAGGTGAACATAAATAACTGGTAAGCTCAAAATTTTATTCAAACAAGAAAATAATATTTTGGGGTAAGGGTTTGTTATTAGAAAGACATGGAAACACTATCAAAGAAACAGAAAATAGTGAGAGGCATAGAGACAGAAAAGGAAGTAAGGCAACATACTAATTGTGTTAACTTTTTATAAAAATATAAATGTTCATGATTTACAAGTGATCCTCAATTTTATGATTTGTTTGGTTTCTGAATAATAATTTCATGCTAACTGACTCTAAATTGAATCCTTTTTCCCATAATATGTCCTGCAATGTTTTAATTTATATTTTCTCTCCTTTTTATTCTTTTTTTGTTCTGGGGATTTAAGGAAGGGCCTCACATATGCTATGCACATAGTCTACCACTGTTCTACACCCCTACTTCCATAGGATTTCTTTCTAGAAACTCTTTTCACACTACAAATTACCAATATTGTTCACAAATATATGTGTTGAAATATAGACCAAATGCATATGCTTCATTATCTATTTATTTAATTTTAAAACTGGGCCAAGAATACAAAACAGTAAGTTGATTTTTCTGCATGACCCAGCCTGGCTGAGATTTTTAATATATGGTTCCAGTTGTATTTTTACTGGTAAATCTTCCTGAATCAGATATGGCTATTCTTCAATGTGGGCATTTCATCCATATCCAAAATTTGCTCAGTTTCTTAGGGTATTTTATATAGTTGATGTGATGTACTGAATAATTCTTTAAAATCTTCAGTGTTTTACAGTGGAGGAGACATTTTCACAATAAACTGCTTTTGCTTCAGTTAGATCTTCATTGTGGAGCTCATGTAAATGAGCTTATGTGTGCAAGATACCTACATGGCCAACTTGTTTGCACCGTCCATGTCAGTATTTGTCACCACTCTGACATGGTCATCTTTAGAAGGAACTTATTTATAATGATTAATGTTACCTTCCAGGGCAGAGTTTGCCTGTAAATAACTATAAAAAGTCTTGACCATTGATTTGTAAACCATTTTTCCCTTCTTTTTTTTTTTTTGTGTGTGTGTGTGTGTTAAAATATACATAAGATAAAATGTATGTTAACCATTATTGAGTGAATAATTTCATCATATGAATTACATTTACATTTTGGGCAATCATTACCACTATCCATTTCCAAAATGTTTTTGCCACCACAAGATGAAGGTCTGTATTCATTAAGCAGTAACTTCCGAAGTCCCCGATCACCTCTAATCTATTTTCTGTCTCTGTGGTTTTGCCAAATCTGGAGATTTAAAGAAATGGAATCATACATTTTTCTTTTTTAAATCTACCTTGTTATCATAATGTTTTTAGGCTTCACCTAATTTGTAACATATATGAGAATGTCATTTATTTTGTGCTTAAATCATATTGTTTTGTATGGATATATATCACATTTTGTTTATCCATCCATCTGTTGAACACTTGGGTCATTCCTACCTTTTCGTTGGCTAATGTGAGTAATTCTGCTAATGAACACTGAGATTCAAGTGTCTGTGGGAATCCTTGTTTTCAGTTCTTGTAGGCTTATACTCAAGAGAGGAATTTTTGGATCATATGATAATTCTATGTTTAAAATCTATATTTTTGAGGCACCACCAATCTGTGTGGCAGTTTAAATACAGCAGAATTCATTCTATTCTCTGACATGTGAGTGTCAGCAGGAAAAGCATGGAACCCCAATCCTAGCAGTTGTGCCCCTCTGTGCTGGGCATTTCGTGGTGAGGCAGAGGTTAGAAGTTCATAGTTTATAGTTTTATTTTTCCAGTTTATAGTTTTATTTTTAAGTTCATAGTTCCAGTTTTATTTTTCTGTGATACTTACCCAAGGCTTATTGAAACAGGTTATGTACTTCATTGTTATAATTGTGTACATGTCAGAAGGAATAGGAATAGGAATATTTGAGTAAAGGAAAGAAACCAACTTTATTTCCTCTATGTATTTTGTGTTTTATTTAATTTTGTCTTTTGTTTTTTACTTATTATGTTCTAATCATTAACTAATGCTACATATCACATAATTTTTATTTTTGTTGGTTTTAAATTTTCATTGGACTGGTATAACTAGTGAAATTATAAATTAATTGTAACTGCAAAAATAATTCTGGATTTTGGCCTTGTTATTTTTAAACTTTTTTTTGTCCCCCCCCCCTTTTTGGTGTCAGTTGTGGTGAGGTTTTTATTGTATAATTCCAGGGTTCCAATGCCTAAGTAGTTCCTAATGTCTCCTTAAATAAGACCATATGAGATGAGGGATGTGGATATCTTTAGAATATGTAATCTCTCACATTTTTCTATGTAATTTTAGATAAATCCTTTGCTATATGAATATTTTTGTCATATATACAACATTTAAGTATTGGTACTTTTTATAGTTTGCATACCTATTGAATAAATTTCTAGAAAAAGGATAGATCAAAAGGTACATGCCTTTAAATTGCGAAGAGATATTACATCTTTTCGCCATTATTAATAATAATACCTTTATGTGTATTGAGCCTTTTTTCTAGCATATGTATTGTAAATATCTTTACTTTTTGGTTTATGTCTCTGTGTGTGCATCTCTATGTGTATCTGTACACATATATATGTATTTACACTTATACCTATGTTCATATTTAGCTGAAATGCTATAAATGGTCATGGGCTTGTCCTGAAAATAGAAATATAAAAATGCTTGCCAAATATTGAAAGATTTGTATATTTTATTCATTTTTTGATACTTCATCTCTTTCCATTGCTACTCTTAATTCATATGCACGTATTTCATCCATGAAAATGGAAATGGAAATTTTTTCATTTATGTAAAATTGATAGGCTATTCACTACTTTTAACCATTTCAAATTATAGAAATTTTTTTTTTTTTAGAAAAGGCCCTGTGTGCTGTCATTCATGCTTGTAATCCCAGCGTCTCAGAAGACTGAGGCAGGAGGATGGCAAGTTTGGGGTCAGCCTGAGCAATTTAGTAAGACTCTTAACATAAAAACTAAAAAGGGCTGTAGATGTGTCTCAATGGAAAGGATTGGCCTGGCATGTGTAGGATCCTGGGTTTAACTCCTAATAATGAAAAAAAAATTCTTTTTAAATATACTCTATGTGGAGGATTGGATATTTCCATTTAACACATCTTTAGACTATAATGTAACTGTAGAAGTCTTGAAAGAAGCCGCAGTGCCATTAGAATAAATATCATTAGTTAAATGATTAATAAAATAGAATCAAGAGAATATTATTCATTTTATTATAGAAATGTTTTGAAAGAAAGTTTGAATAATATTTTTATCAAATTAAAGAAATTGAGAATGTATGTATAAATTGTCATAACATGTGATAGTGTAACTAAACATTACTGCACCATACTTTCCACAGACATTTTATTACAACAATACCACAGAGTAATCTGTGCTTATAGTGATAAATAGCCTGGGCCAGAGATGATTCATAAACTAATTTTTCCCTTAATATGCATAATGTTCACTAGATTGCACATTTATTCAATCTTCTGTCTTAACTGCTAACATGGCACTAACTAATTGAAACTTTTTGTTAATGACTTTCTGTAGAGCTCTCATAATAGTTATGGCTTTATAAAGCTATGGCATTACACAGTGACAATTTCAAATACTCTTGAAACTTTAGATGTTTTATTATATTTAATATTTATATTAAGAATCTTTAAAAAAAAAGTTAAAATCTCCAGACACTTTCATTTCATGTTTGACTTTAAAAAGAGTAGTCATGGGGCTGGGATTGTGGCTCAGTGGTAGAATACTTCCCTAGCATATGTGAGGCACTGGGTTCAATTCTCAGCACTCATATAAATAAATAAAATAAAGGTCCATTTACAACTAAAAAATATTTCTTAAAAAAGAGTACTTGTAAACAATAGTCTTACATTATCTGCAATTGCATGAAACTAAATTTTTTTTAAACTTTTTTTTTTTCAGTTGTAGGTGAACACAATACCTTTATTTTACTTTTATGTGGTACTGAGGATTGAACCCAGTACCTCAGATGTGCTAGCCATGTGCTCTATCACTGAGCTACAACCATATCCCCTTTATCTAAACTTTTGATTACTGATGCAAGCTCAGGATTTCATAGTTATTTATATTCTATTTATTTGCTACATACTTTTAAACATCTATGCATCGGCATGCATACACATACATGTACATACACTCTTGTCTCACAAAAGGATAAAATCTTTTAGATTTAGAACTATTGGTATGTTAATATAAAACTTTTAAATTATGTTTGAAATTTAATTAGTGATGAAAATATATTTAACATAATAATAATTTAGAGAAGTGATATTGAAAATCTGATTTCAACCTCAATATTGTTTGCATTATGTGCAATTATTATCAAGATTCTAGATCTACAGGTGTTTCACTTCCAGCTTAAACTTTTTATTTTAGAATAGAGGACTGTGTTTTAGATCTAGTGTGTCTTCTATGGTGATAAGTTTCTCATTAGGCTCAGTTTTTTTAAATACAGTTAAAGAAAGAAGGTGTTTATTTTCACACTGAAAATGCTTTAAGAGAAAACATTTCCTCATATGGCCCAACTATTAAATGCAAGTGAAATAAACCAAAAAAGGGAAGCTTGTTTGTTTTACTTATTTTCTAGCTATAAAGTAACTGAAAAAATGACTCAAGGCATTGTCTTGAATAAGTACATTTTTAATTTTTGTTTATATATCAATGAAGTGTTTTGATAAGCTGAATATTTTAATAAAATCCTATTTTAATCTTATTTATGAATAATATCTATTGAATGCCTTTATACACGTACACCCATACATAGATGTGTTCCCATGTGTGTGTACATGCAAGTGTGTGTTTGTGTATATATGTGTGTGTGTATAAAATAACTTCATAGTATAATTTACTGAGAACACTTTTGGCTCTAACAGAAACAGAATTTTGTTCTTGGATCTGGCTTTGTATGTAACACCAAGTACGTCATTTTTCTTCCATATGTACCTCATTTACTGCAGTGTTTCTGTTACAATTCAGACTTCATGTGGTAAGTAGTATCTGTAGCCTGGAAGAACAGTTAGCAAGTACATTAATTGCACTTTTGAGGAATGGTCTATTCTCCAGGATTACTATTTATTGATTTAATTGTTGCCTGCTGCTTAATCAGAAGTTTTTACCCACATGGAACTATTTGATAAGCTTGGCATAAAATGCAAGATCTGTGAAATGTAAACAGTATTCATTGTATGAGGACCTATAATCAAGACAGACCGCGAGACATTTGAAAATACTGCAGCTGCATAAGAAGTAGTTTTGTTTGATCTTTCTTTGCATTGGACATTGAAAAATATTATCGTGACTGTAGCATCCACATGCTAATATTTATGATGATAGTTTCATCTCTTTTTCTTCCTTTTGCTATCCTCCCACCTCCTAACCTCTCTACTGTTTTACTTACTTCCATTTCCTTTATTGTCATCTTATTCTGGCTCCTTCTTTTCCTTGCTGAATATCTTTCTTCTTATTTTTTCTGATTTTCTTAATTTCAACTTTCTTTTTTTGGACTAATTTAAGTCAGACCTTACCAAGTGTACTGCCGAAGCAGCTGGAAATAATCTCCTTGCTTTTGCATTCCTTGGGCACCACAGTTTGGGAAATATGGATTGTATGCTTTTGTAAGGCATGTTCTGTTCAGAATATTCCTGAAGTCTTGCAGTCATTCCTTTTTTATTCTGTTTGCAGCAGTTGATAGTTCCTTCAGAGAAATTATAAGTTTCAATAAATTTTTGCTTCTAAAACTTAAAATTTATATAACATTAACAAACTTAAATAATGTTTAAACCTACTATAGTGAAGTTGTCTGTTGGAAAATAGTTAAGTTTAATGACTAAGTCCATCAAGAACCCCTATCCATCCCAGATAGTCCTTAGAGAACTCATTGAATCCAGTGAGAAAAGTGTTGAATTTCATGAGATGAGGTGAAATGATATTTTTTATTCAGTACAAAGAATTAGAATTCATGTATCCATTTACTTTTTTATATTTCTGAGATTAGGAGGTTGAAGTTTTAAACAGGTGTGATGTTACTATTTCTCAAACACTTGCACAGTAGAAATCATTAAAATTAAAATAATTTATGCCTAACATAACAAGTTGAAATGTCGTCTCATGTTAAATAACTAGTTGCTCTTTTTCATCTTCAATATTACAGCCATCATAATTCTCTTGGATTTTCTGACTTTTTAGAGTGTAAGGTGCTATACTATATGTGTGTGAGAGTGCATTTCATATTTAATTTTAATTACTAATTGTGTAAATTAAAATGTCTTTGAGCATTTGTTACTTTTTATCTTTTAATAGGTCTTCTTTTAATAGATCTGTAGACAATAATAGAGTGTTAAAAACCTAGGACTCAAAATCTCTTAGGAGAAAGATGGAGTTTTATGAGATTATGATATTAGATAAACCTATGACTTCAGTATTACTTATGTATTATGTATTTAATGTTGGGGTAGAGTTGCTTCTTTTTTCATTGTTATTTCATGTATTTTAATCAAAGTGGGATCTGACAAAAATAGTTAGGAAAAGCATCAAATATTTTTAGATTCAACATTGTTTTTTACTTTTGCTTTTCTTCGTCTATTGATCTTGCCTTCATGTTTCTGTATTCCATTCCCTCAAACATTTCTCCTTGTGTATAGTTATGCACAGACCCACAGTGTATTTGTCCATCTCTTGCAGTCAATCAAGCAGCAAAGGAAGACACAGTGGTTTTGAAGATTGGTTCTGTTGCCATGGCTCCCCAGGCTGACAATCCCCTTGGCCGATCTGTCCTCAGGAAAGATATTTACCAGTAAGTTTATTCTGCAACAGTTTCTGCAAAGTTCAGTGATCAATAAAACTTGCTAAGTGTAGCCTGCCTGTAGAAATACTTTTCATTCAGGATCTTTTGATATTTAAAACCAGGTTTTTCTGATTTTCTTCAGTTGTGGGTTTTTAAATTCATTCAGACAAATCAAGTATTTCTGTGAAGTGTTGATGAATAACAGAATGTAAGTACCAAGTCATCATAAAACTAAAGAAGTATAGCTTGGAAAATTCTAGCAGACTTCAAATTTGACCAAATCTCTATTCACATAAGAAAACGACGTCCTTTCTAGAACTACTGCACCCTACTATAGTCAAGTTGTATCAAAGTGTAACATTTTCCTAACTTAAATGTAAGCTATTATTTGAAATGTAGTTCTGTGTATGTCATGTGGATCAAAGCTGTACAGTAAAGAAAACTTCTAAGGAGAAATTTCACAGTAAACTCTGTGAAAATGCCATGCCCTGGACTTTGTCACTGAGAATTTGCAAACCACACCAAGCATATATAGACAACTAAACTGGTGAACATATGTAATCAACATGATAAAAATAATATATGATTCGTACTGAAGTTGGCACTACTGCAGACATAAACAGTTACACATAATACCAAGTGAGAAAAGTCACAGAAATACAGATGAACAAGTATCTTATTCTTCCTGCTGGTCTGTTTTTCAGATGTTGGGTCTGACTTTTTAAAAATGTAAATTCCTACTGTTCTCCAGTAGATGTTCCTAGGAAAAGATTCTAATTTTGTTAATACATGTACCACCTACATGGTAACATTCAGTTTTACTTTAAATTGATAGAAGAATTGTATTTCTAAAGTTTCTCTGATATCGGAGTTGAGAATATTTCCTTTGACTTTTATGTCAGGTCTTTTCCTTATGCTAATTTTTTCTGTATAGCTTATAATATTCATCTCTTAAATGAGTTTTTATATAGTTATGCTTATATAAAATCTAAGTATGTCAGAACTGAAGGAAACCTTAGGAATTATCTGATCCATCTTCATTAGTATTTTACAGATTAGGAAACTATGTATCCAAAAAATTTGTCTCTAGTCAATTGGTGATAGAGCCATTGTTAACTCCTTTAGAGTTGAAGGAGAGAATTATAGTAGAACATAAATTTGGGGTGCAAATTCTTTAATTGTCTAAGGTTTAGAAATTCTGTCCAGTGTTTTTTGTTTGTTTGTTTGTTTCACACTTCAGGCAGGAATAAATTGAGCTCAGAGTCCAGCTTTACTTTTCAGGGGTTTTTTGTTGTTGTTGTTGTTTTGTTTTGTTTTTGTTCCAGGGGTGCTTAACCACTGATCCACATTCCAGCCCTTTTTTGATGTTTTGTGACAAGGTCTCACTAAGTTGCTTAGGGCCTTGCTAGTTGCTGATGCTGGCTTTGAACTTGAGATCCTCCTGTTTCAGCCTCCCTAGCCACTGGAATTACAGATATGTACCACCACACTCAGCCAGCTTTACTTTTTATGGAAGAAATGTGTTTTATATTAAAAAATCCCATTACTATTAACAAAGTGAAACACTTTCAAGCTCTCACATGAATTTTTATCCTTATTTGTTTGGAATTCAGTCTGTATTTTGTGAGATGATCCCTTTACATTTTCTTTCTGTCTCTCTGACACTTCTTTTCTATTTTCCTACTGGTCTTCCTAAACAGTCCCTTTAATGTTAATGTCTCTCATAACTTCCTTTTATCCCATCTTGCCCATTTCTTCTTGGATGAGTCCTTCTGCTCTCCTGGCTGAGAAGAAATTGAATTCTAAACATGTATACTAACTCTGAAATGCTGCTGTAGCCCCTGGTTAGAAATATATGTTAGAATATCAAACATAAAATTCTGGGTATTGTATGCCATACTCAATAGTTTTCCCTTGAAAGTTCACATTCCAAAGTCTTTTCTAAATAACCAATCTATAGCCCAGTGTGGTGGTACATGCCTATAATGCCAGTGTCTTGGGAGGTTGAGCCACGAGGATCTCAAGTTCAAAGCCAGCCTCAGCAATGTCAAGGCACTAAGCAACTTATTTATCTCTAAATAAGAGCCAAAATAGGGCTAGGGTGCTTGAGTGCCCAACCCCCCCCCCCAAAAAAAAAATAATAACTAAACTATAGAAAGTATTCACATAGGAGTTCATGAAAACATTTCAAGATCTCATTGAAATACTGTATCAACATGAAAAGAGGGTTAGGGCATGATGCCACAGACCTATAATCCTTGTGATTTGGATTAAGACAGGAGAGTCGAAAGGTCGAGGACAGTTTCAACCACTTAACAGGACTCTGTCTCAAAATTAAAAAAAAAAAAAAAAAAGTGGTGTGAGGATGTAGCTTAGTTGTAAAGTCTTCCTAGGTTCAATCCCTAGTACAAAAAAAAAAAAAAAAAGCAAAACTAGAAACCTCATTGGAATGAAGTAATCAGAATAGAAGTATCTCAGATTAAACAGGTATGCAAACACCAAAAGACCTGCATCCTAGGACTGCTCTTATGATATTTATTAACAATGAAATCTCGATAGACCGATGTAAAAGTCTGTATATTGTATGAAGTATTCAGAATGGACAGATCCATGAATATAGAAAGTAGATAAATTTGGAGGTCTAGACACTTCTTTAAACTATGACAAAGTGACAGTAATCAAGGTACGTGATACTGGCATAAGGATAGACATTTAGATCAGTGAATAGAATTGGGAGATTAGAAATAAACCATCACATTAATGTTTCTTGGTGTTTTATAAAGGTACCAAGATAATTCACTGGTGAACAATAGTCATTTCAATTAATTGTTCCTGTAGTACTGAATATCACTTTTTATGGAAGAAATGTGTTTTATATTAAAACACCTTCTCCATCATAACCAGAAATTAATTCAGGCATTAGAGATCTTAGATAATACCCAGAAATTAGCTTAGGCATTAGATATAAGAGCCATCATCCTAATGCTTATAGAACAACTAGGAGTAAATGTTTGTTATCTTGATTAGAGAATGGCTTCTTAAACATGACATCCAAAGCAGAAGTCACAAAGGAAAAACTAAAGAAGACTTTATCAAAATTCCAAACTTTTATGTGGCTATTCCATTTTCACTGTCAAGAAAGTAAAAATGTGGGCTGAGGATATGGCTCAAGCGGTAATGTGCTCGCCTGACATGCGTGCGGCCCAGGTTCGATCCTCAGCACCACATACAAACAAAGATGTTGTGTCCGCCGAAAACTAAAAAATAAATATTAAAAATTCTCTCTCTCTCTCTCTCTCTCTCTCTCTCTCTCTTAAAAAAAACATTTATGTTAAAAAAAAGAAAGTAAAAATGTAAAGAATGGGTGAAAATATTTACAAATCATATGTCCGTTAAGAGGCTCCTGTCATAATGAACTCTTAAAACTCACTGATAAAAAAGAAACCAATTTTAAAATGGGCAAAGGATTTTAATAGATGTAGATGAAAATGTAAAAATGACTAATAAGCACATATTAAGATGTTCAACACTACTAGTCATTAGAGAAATGCCAAATCAAAACCACAACAATCAGGTTGGCTGTAATCAAAAAGACAACAAATGTGGAGAAGTTAAAACTATAGGGGATATAAGAAAAACCCATACTGTATTTTTTCTACCTTCACACATTCAGGATTATACCCAATACAACCTCTCTTTCTCTCTCTCTCTTTTTTTTTTTTTGTACTAGGGATTGAACTCAGAGGCATTCAACCACTGAACCACATTCCCAGCTCTATTTTGTATTTTATTTAGACACACTCTCACTGAGTTGCTAAGCACCTCACCGTTTCTGAGGCTGGCTTTGAACTCGAGATCCTCCTGGCTCAGCCTCCCAAGCCACTGGGATTACAGATGTATGCCACCACGCCCATTTTCAATGCAACATTTATGGCATCAGGTTCCTGTGACATTATGAAAAATGTCTTTGGTATTTGTCCCCATTTCCTGATCCATAACTCCTAAAACCCTTGAAATCTCCAGAGTGATAAAACTACCTTTTGAATATTAGCAAGATGACTGGTGGCTGGGGAACAACTGGTCACAAGAAAGACCCAGGGTATAATCAAAGAGTTGAGATTTTAAGTCTCCCTCCCCTGCCTCCAGGGAAAGGAGAAGGGCTGAAAGTTGAGATTTCATCAGTGACCATTGTTGTAATCAATTATGTTTATGTAAGGAAGCCTCAGTAAAATCCTCAAAAGAAAGAGTTTGGGTGAGCTTTTGGATTTCTAAGTACAGGGGTACCTGGAGGGTGGTGATATACCCATATAAGCCCTTCCAACATACTTTGCCCTATGCATCTCTTCCATCTGGCTGTTATCCTTATCCTTTGTGATATCCCTTATAATAAATAGGTAATGTTAAGAAGCTATTTCTTTCAGTTCTATGAGCAGCTTTAGTAAATTAATAAAACCTGAGGAGAACAGGATATAGCAGTACATGAGAAGCACAGATCACAACCTGAGGCTTTTCAATTGGTATCTAAAAAGAAGAGGAACAGTCTTGTGTGATTAATGCTAACCTGTGGGATCTGATGTTATTGCCAAGTAGATACTTTCAGAATTGTGTTAAATTATGCCATAACATGACTTAACCTTGGAATCATTGTGCAAAGTGAAAAATGATTTAAAAAACCACTTAGAGTCCATTTAGATGAAATGTCCAGAGTAAATAAATCCATAGAAACTGAAAGTAGGATCGCACTTTCTAGAAGTTGAAAGGGAGAGGAAAGTGACTACTAATGGGCATCGGATTTCTTTTGGGGGTGAGGAAGATGTTCTGGAATTAGATATTAGTAATATAATGAGCTGTGCATAGCAAGAGCACAGTGAGAATATACGAAATCCACCTTAAATGGTTCAATTTTGTGGGATATCAATTATGTCTCAATAAAGCTCATTTTAGAAAAATGTCATAGATTGATATCAAGTGGTCCAATGGCATTAATTGCAGAGGGGAATTTCGCTTCC